ATAGCGAATGTGAGAGGGTTTGATAGCGAATGTGAGAGGGTTTGATAGCGAATGTGAGAGGGTTTGATAGTACGTGTAAGAGAGTTTGTAGGTTTTGGCCTATGGGGCCTCTCATACATTTTGCATCTTACATTGTGCTACTTTATCTGTTAATGACAAATCATCAGATGGTTTATTGTGCAAAACTTCCGCACTTCTACTTATTAGGATTATGTATAATCCTAATAATCCTAATAACATGATTTCTGTACAAACATGTTCTGTACATGATTGTACAGAACAATCATGTTTGTACAGGTTTTCCATTGTTTTGTAAGCCAAAATGGAAGGCCTTGGTTAGTATAAACAGTAAAGTATGAAAAGAAGTACCATACAAATAATTTGTGGTATAAAGAAAAATCTGTGATATTTAAAGTATTAGAAATGTAAATAGTTAGAAAAGAAAAAAACGCATCATAAATTCAATAATATTCCTGGAAAAAACACACTTCACTCCTACTGGCTGAATGTATTTAATGTATTTTACAAAATATTTCTGTGTGTCTCAAAGATTTGTGCGGGGTATCCTGACCTACTACTACAAGACCGATGCTGAAGTTCAGCAAGACTCTGAACTTCAAAAGTGGATTCTGGACATTTTTGAACATGGATTCCTTTCCCAGCCTTGCCCAGGTATCTCTTAAAGAAAATAATACGGCTTGATAAACTTATTACAGATTTGTGTAATGGAAGCATGTGGGTTGCAAAGTGGTACTGCTGGTAGCTCTGTTGCCTGACAGCAAGGATGTTCAGGGTGTCTCCATGTATGAATGGATCTTCTCTGGGTTCACCAGCTGCCACCTAAAAGTCAATTGACTATTAGATTATTTAGTCTCTCTAAATTACCCCTAGTTATGACTGTGTGCGTGGTTGTTTGTCTTGTGTGTCCCTCTGTTGCACAGACTGCTGAAGACAGGCACCAACCCTCACCCACTTACAGACCTACAATAACAAGTGGTTATAGACAATCGGTGGGATGGGATGGACGGTTAAGAATTGATCAAACATCCAATTTTTAAATGTTAAGTTTATTTTTTTCTAATTCTCAGGAATCCCACAGAAACTTACCACAGTGGATGAGCTCATCAAGTTTGTCACCATGGTGATCTTCACCGGCTCAGCCCAGCATGCTGCTGTGAACAGTGGACAGGTCAGGGTTTGGGATGAGCAATGCTAAGATTCAGATATGATTTGTATTATTTGCATATGAATTGAAGCTCGGTGTTTTTATTTCAGATAATACTTGCTTGATAACAATTGCTACTTATTTACAGAAGCAATAGATGACTATATAACTCCATACATATAAATAATGCTACAAATGCTGGCGCATAATTCAAATTCACCAAACATGGTCTTCAAAACACAGGTTTTTTTTTAATACAGACTTTACAGCATAGATAAACAGTTTCAAAAATTGTAATCCTGTAAACACTCAATTTGTATTGCATTATGAATTAAGTTTATGGCTTAATTGATCTTCTGCCAGGCTCCTATAGTGAGTCAATAAATGCAGGAGTAAAAACACCTTTCATGATCCTCCAATAAGGTATACTCTGATGTGGTATGTAGGGACATTTTTGTCCATATTATTTTTGAATTGTCAAAATAAATGTGTCTCAGGTCAATATCAAGGAGCACCTTCTACCTCGACTCTATTAATAATGTACATTTTGTTAAGATAGGGTAGATTATCATATCAAGTTAATAGCTTTAAAGGTTGGTTGTAAAAAAAAATTTAAAAAAACAAGCAAACGCTATTTTAAACCATATAAAGGTTCAAGCAATCATGGCCTAAATCCAGTCAACAAACTGTCTAAAGCTATCAGTCAGACAACTACAACTATAATTACAACTATTACGCTGTATTTTGAAATTCCACAAGCAAAAGAAGTCAATAACAAAACTACAATACTCATTTCTGTACTGCAGTTTGACTTTGGTAGCTGGATGCCAAACACTCCAATCTCCCTGCAACTGCCACCTCCCACCAAAAAAGGGGAAGCGACTGAAGAAACGATGCTGAAAACACTGCCGGACGTCAACACCACAGTTCAGGGCATGGCCACCCTGTGGCTGCTCAGCCAGCAGTCCAGTGACTTTGTGAGTGTTCACACTTCAGTGTGTTTTGCAAACATATGGTCAAGCTTTATCAGAAACATTTCAACAGGCTAATCTCAATAAAGTAGTAAGTAATTTAAAAGTGAGTCCCTTTCATGATAAATTTCATCTTGGGTTTTCTGTAGCTTCAATCCATTCACAAAATGAGCAGAAATAAATGGTTGAAATAGATCACTCTGGGTGTAATTTATCTTTATAATATATGAAAGACCTAATGAATTAGGTCTTATGAACCGTTTTTCACGGTTTTCTTTTTTCTCGCGATGAACCTGTATATAAATAAGGTAAAATGATACTATTCAACTCCATGACTTCTTCATGGCTCTATATGTTTACACGAGTAGTCCACATGTTTCAAACATTTGCATGTCGGTGGCAGAAAAACTAAGTGTCCTTGATTTTATCAGGCACCTCTTGGCCAGTACTCTGAGGACCACTTCAGTGAGGAGACTCCACGGCAGATGATGGCGAACTTTAAAAAGGAGCTGGCGGCGTTGAGTGCAGCAATCAAAGAGAGAAACAAAACTCTGGAAGTGCCGTACACATACTTGGATCCAGAGGAGGTAGAAAACAGTGTGGCTATTTAGGGAAGTAAGAGAAGTTTCCTCTCAGTTTTCATAGTTGATAATAATCCCACACTGATGTGCTTCATGTTATTTTAGGTGTATTATTGGAAC